ACGCTATCAATAGTACAGTGATTGTGCCGATGGCGATGGGAAAGCCGAATATGACGTAAATCATGAACGGGTATAATGTGGTGACACTACCGGCCAGTATATAGCCGATGGTCTTTTTCATGTTGTCAAATATGCGTCGGCCCTCCTCTACGGCCGTTACAATTGTGGCGAAATTGTCGTCCAATAGTATCATATCTGCCGCCTGTTTGCTCACATCCGACCCTGTGTTTGATTATGGTATATAATTACATTTTATAAATACACGAAATAATTATGTACAATGAAACAATTTGATGAGTTATTTAGTGCCTACTTAATACAGTAATTTAATACAGAATTTTTAATATATGTAATTGATTATAAGACTATTATTCAAAATTTTAATTTACTGAATTATGTTTTGTATTTATAAACTGTAATGACTGATTGATTTCTATTAGTATTATATTGGTATAAAGTATAAACAATATTTATACTTAAAAGTGATATTTCACTTATTCGTGAAATCAGTTCACAATAATTTTAAGCCATAAAACTATTATTGTAACCCATTTTCCCTCTTAAACACTGCCGACAATAACATTGTGACCCAAATTGACCCAAATGTCACCCCATTCTGTCCATATATAAAGCCTAAACTTACCACACATTTTCAGAGTCTACAAAAATGTAACCCTAAACACACTCCTTGTGTGTTTCGCACTCCTTGTGCCTAATGTTTAAAATAAAAGTTTTAAATAAAGTAAAGTTTTCATGCAATTTGTGAATACCTTTATATTGGTAATAAGACAAATTAATAAAAGTTGAATGACGGGCAATTTTCATTACTTTAAATTCAATTATTAATAAAAAAAATAGTTTTTAAATTAAAATCTAAAACATATTGATCTTGTATAAATAATTATTAATTTGTCATTATAGACTGTTATAAAATAATTTTAAATTTTAAGTTACAATTAAATGATAAATATAATTATATTTTTTGGGAAATAGCAGTATGTCCAAGTAGTTTTAATTAGATTGTTTTATCATATCATTATTTTAAATAATTTTTATTTCATAATAAAAACAATACTGGTAATAAAAATTTTGTTTATAAAATATGTTTAATTATTGACCTGTCTATAGAGACAGTAATAAAATAATATTGGCTTTTAAAGTAATAGTTAAATGATAAATATAATTATGTTTAATGGAACTCATTCAAAATACGACAAAATTATAGAGCATTATAAATATGTTTTTATTTTTAGAAAATTAAATTTAATTATACTTATTAATGTTAGTAGTTAATTGATTGTACGCACCGGTAATACCCATCGCGACCCCTATATTGGCTTTCTTAAGGGCGGGCGAGTCGTTGACGCCATCGCCAGTGACGGCCACTATTTGGCCCAAGAATTGGCAGTTCTCGACGATTCGC